CGCACTTGGCTCCGAGACGTCCAGACCAATGACCCTACTTGTCAGAGGCTCGCCAGTCTCCCCCGCTCACAGTTCACCATTGACAACGACGGATTGTTGCGATATGGGCATCGTTACTTTCTACCTCAACGGTTTGCTCACTCGGTTATCGAAGATATCCACATCTTCCTCGGTCATTGTCCGCTCAAGCAAACCCACGACAGTGTAGTAAAGGCTTTCTACATCCCTGGTGTCTCTCGGCTTGTTCAACACGTGGTGTCAAGATGCGCATGCCAGTTCTCAGCCGGCCGTCGGGGCAACGTTAACCCCATCGGTCCCCCATTGAGAAGTACTTCAAGGCCTATGAAGATCCTCGACTGTTGCTTCCTTGATATTGTCGGTCCTCTGCCTGTGTCGGAATCCTTCTCCCACCCCTTCAAGTTCATCATATCATGCATGGACTGTTGCAGCGGTTATTGTTGGTTCTTTCCAACTCCCGACATCACCAGCAAGACCATCACTGGTATCCTCGAAGCAAGGCTGATCGATCAGGTCGGAGTCCCACGAGTCTTCACAGTCGACAATGCCCGCTATTTCACTGGTGTTTACTTCCGCGCCTGGGTTGCCAGCATAGGTGCTACCTTGAGATGTATCCCTGTCGCTAGCCCCCATCGCAATGCCCTATTAGAACGTCAACACTCTGGTCTCAAGAAGTCATTGAAGGCCCTCTGTGCTGAACATCCTGAATCGTGGCCGGCCTATGTCACGAAAGCTCAGCGGAGGATCAACACCCGATCTACATATGGCTACAGTCCTCAAGAGCTATTCTACGGTTTCGACGCTCTAACGCCCTTTTCAAGACGGTTTGAAGACGTCAGCAACACTATCGACGAAGACTCTGTCCGTTTCGAGGCTCGACGTCGTGATCGAGAACGACAGAGAATGGTCAACAGCACTCTCAACGTAATGGAGAAGATGCGTGCTGATGCTCTCTCGCGTATCAGTCCATCAACCTACACTCGACAAGTCGCACGACGACGTCTATTCAAGGTTGGTGACTCCGTGATGAAGTGGGTCCGTAACGTCGACCCCCTTACTCCTTCATGGAGAGGCCCTCTACTGGTTCAACAAGTACTTGGCGATTCTACTTACAAGCTTTCCGACGGCACTGTTCAAGATTCTAGAAATATGCGGGAGTACTTCGGTAAAGCCCAGAATATGAATCCCATTACTATTGCATACATTCAGTAGATTTAATTCACTTTTGATATTTGTGCCAATCTTACGGGGAGGAGAGATGATAAGAGTCTATAGCCATTCAGTCTTATGGCGTGCGCTCCCAGTAGCGTAAAACTCGCTCTCGCCCGACCGTTTCAGACATTGTCCGTTCAAACCATTGTTCGGATCCCGTGGATCTATCTGATCTGTCTGCACTCAATCTCCACTAACTATTGAATCCTTATGTCCGGTTCTGCATCGAGTTCTAGTCCTCCGGAAGCCTTCGACCAGCACTTCCTTAACAAGATGATAAGAGTCTATAGCCATTCAGTCTTATGGCGTGCGCTCCCAGTAGCGTAAAACTCGCTCTCGCCCGACCGTTTCAGACATTGTCCGTTCAAACCATTGTTCGGATCCCGTGGATCTATCTGATCTGTCTGCACTCAATCTCCACTAACTATTGAATCCTTATGTCCGGTTCTGCATCGAGTTCTAGTCCTCCGGAAGCCTTCGACCAGCACTTCCTTAACAACTTGGGGGCTGCATGCCGAGAATCCATATCCAAGAACGAGAGACTGCTGTCCAAGTGCTTCCAGGACATTGAAGCTGGTTCTACCGTCGACGTTCAGATCATTCTGAGAAACACCTCTGATGCCCTTACGCCTGTGAAAGCAATGTCCGTACCCGGCCCTATAACGGCCCCGGCGTCGGAATCGGCTACAGGCTCGGGGTCCTCAAGCTTGCCCGCTGGAAGCGAACACGCGAGCTCTGATCAATCAGATGGCGTCTCAGTATCCCCGGTGGTTGTTGTAACGACTTCATTGACTTCGGTCTTCGAAGCAGTATCAGCCGATCTCTGCCGCCTTGCTGATGACCATCTACTCAGCTGTGACCTTCCCTCATGGGTGACTCCGGTCTCACGACAACTTGCGAGAGTTATCATTAACCTCTCCTCATCGGATCACTATCAGATTCGATGGACAGTTGCCATTCCGACCCAAGCACAGCTGAAACGTGAATCGGTCGCTGCTATCAGTGAGCATCGCTCTCACTGCATGGCACAATCATCTCAAGCCAACACGAATGCCATACCCGGTGTTCTCACGACAGGTGAACAGGCTAACACCTATCACTCCACCGGTGCTGTTGTTACCACTTCACAACAGCAATCGGTCTCCCAAGTGAGCTCGTCTATCGGTGGCCCTTCCAACTACGACATCCAGCACAATCCCACGGCCGTATGCTCAACCTTCGGGGGGTATCAAAATTATACATGCCCTCCCCGTATTCGTCCGTTGCAGATTAAGACTGATGTCACGAAGCGCCCTATCGATCAGGCTATCAAGCAGGTTCGTGTCTTTATCGGTCATCCTGTACATGACCGCCTCAAGTTCGACCCTAACCACAGTGGTGCCTATGCTAGATGGCGTGTTGCCTTTGCTGATGCGATCGAGCGCGTGCCATGCTCTCGACAAGTTGCTACGGAGGCAGTTCTGGCATGTCTACCAGAGCCTGTCAAAGGCACTGTCGAACGAAGTGTTCACCCAAGTGACATCGAGAAGTTTGGTCACGTCATCATCATCTATGCCTTGGACCATACCTATCTGACGAAGCTCGAGTTGCGTAGTGTCTCCGCTGCGTGGGAGAGAATCTGCCAACAACCCAATGAGTCTGTCCGTCAATATGCTACGAGGTTTGAGCACTGTGCACATGTATACACGGCTCTCTACTCTACTCATGGTCTTTCTGCCCGTGACATCACCACCAAATTCTCTGACGGTCTCCGTGGTGCCCGTGAAGTTCTGGGAAGATGCCTAATCGATCCCCAATGCCAGCTTGGCTATGAAGCTTACAAACTCGCACTCTTCGCGGAAGCATGCACTTGCATCTTCCAACCTGTACTCGTCGACAAGCTCGATCACGGTGATGACAACGCTCCTGCCCGTGTCTATCCATCTGATGATCTTCATCAACGATATCGGATCACTACTGATATCAGGCCCCTAAACCACCCCCAAGTTGAAGGTCACAGCTGAGTAGGTGGTCATCAGCAAGGCGGCAGAGATCGGCTGATACTGCTTCGAAGACCGAAGTCAATGAAGTCGTTACAACAACCACCGGGGCTACTGAGACGCCATCTGATTGATCAGAGCTCGCGTGTTCGCTTCCAGCGGGCAAGCTTGAGGACCCCGAGCCTGTAGCCGATTCCGACGCCGGGGGCCCGTTATAGGGCCGAGTACGGACATTGCTTTCACAGGCGTAAGGGCATCAGAGGTGTTTCTCAGAATGATCTGAACGTCGACGGTAGAACCAGCTTCAATGTCCTGGAAGCACTTGGACAGCAGTCTCTCGTTCTTGGATATGGATTCTCGGCACAGCCCCCAAGTTGTTAAGGAAGTGCTGGTCGAAGGCTTCCGGAGGACTAGAACTCGATGCAGAACCGGACATAAGGATTCAATAGTTAGTGGAGATTGAGTGCAGACAGATCAGATAGATCCACGGGATCCGAACAATGGTTTGAACGGACAATGTCTGAAACGGTCGGGCGAGAGCGAGTTTTACGCTACTGGGAGCGCACGCCATAAGACTGAATGGCTATAGACTCTTATCAATACTCACATGGGAAAATTAGATTCGATTGTTTTCCTTGAGTCAATACAGAATTATACGCAAGTGAAAGCGTTCATTAGTCGTATGTCCCGATGCTACTACTGTGACGCCGCTGAGGCCCAAACCTTTGAGAGATTGTACAGTGCTCAAAAATTAGTCTGGAATATGTAGTTCGAAGTCTGTTTCCTGTGAAATTCAAATCTGGGTCAAATAGGTTTTCTCTGTTGACTGGATAGAGTTGATAAATGTTTCACCTACGGGTCGTACAATCTACCATGTCAAACGTGTGTACATTAGTTTCCACTCGAAAAACATCTGGTTTAGCAACACGTTGTTAGATTCGATTATCTGTAACCGTTTCGTGCCTAAGCCTCAATATTTGGGCGAGCGAGGATTTTTATGGCGCCGAATTGTCTACGGGAGAGGTCACAATTATCTTCGTCTTCTATGAACCCGATGCATGCAGTTAAGGAAGATATACACATAGTCGACTACGTGTGTCGGGGACGATGCGGAAATTTTCGGGAAATTTTGGGAAATTTTGGGAAATTATTGTTGGTTTCTGAACACTTGTACCCGAATTCGTATATGAACTGCTATACTTAGCGAGGAGTCTCCTTACTCCAGGTGAAGAAAGCGGACATAAAATCCTCCAACATTGACTGCATAGAGTCTACTCGGTAGATAAGGCTGGTCTTTCTCAAAATGTTCAATTCAGTCACGGCTTGTGATGACCCTAGGATTGACCGGCATCGCTGCGTGAGGTGGAGTAGCGGATCCTACTGTATGTGAGTAGTGAAATACGTCCATATACGAATTCAGCAGCGGGGCCTAGGCTGAGATATTAAGGCTCCCAGCCGCGGGCTCGAGTGTCCTCACAATTGGAGTTAGATATCCACACACGCGGAAAGATGTTATTCATCGAGTCAGCTAGCGGGCCCGGTTTTAGCTCTCATACCTTCGGCGACTCTATCATGTTCACCTTATATTGAGATAGTCTACGAATGATAAAGACTAGGGTTCAATTCCCAGTGGTGACATCTCTGAAAATGTCGGGCTTCCCCTGATCTTTGCTAGGGAAGAGGATGATGTAGGTGGCCTCGGGCACTAGCAAATTCAGTCGGCTGAAGTACAGACCTTCCGAACGTACTGTTTATTGCTAATTTCATGCAGCAGTCTCGGCTTGTGTGGGTGGGGTCCTGGAGATCTGCTCAGTTGAGTGAATGGCGAGATTCCTGCGTAAATTCATACACCATGAAGCACGGACAGGATCGACCTTACAGTCCTTCCTACAAGCCCAGCAACCTGATTTGGATACCATCTCTTTGCTACTTCGTCATTTGACTACGGTCCATCTAGGGGATAAGAAGACACCTCATCGCATCATGGATGTTGCTTGGTATCTCCAAGATAGAGGGGGTAGGAGGCCGATCCAAGCAGGCGTATCTTAGGTTCCTGCATGGTAGATACACTATTAGCCCGACAGCAGGTCGGACATGAATTGGTGACCCCCTCACCGACGGCATTAGCTCATGTGGCCTTGGCTATGGCGGCTGTGGTTAACTACGACATACCCAAAAGGGACATGCAGAGCATTCGAGCTGTGGTGGTTGCATGTGCCACTCGGGGGCTCGCTCTCGCAGCTTCGAGGAAGGACCTCCCTC